ACTAGGCTGAGTCACGTCAGACTGAGCCCTCGCTTCCTCAACATCCTCCATGAATCTGAGTCTCTGAGTCCCTGAGTCACGTACCCACCCTTCTTTTCCTGTTACTCAGTATTCACTCGCCCGCTATTCATCCATGTCTACTGTGTTGCGGAGAAGGTCCTTCCTGTTTATTTATCTGTTTATTTATTCATTTATTCACAAGTTTGAATTTCTTTATTCTCTTGAGTTTCTTTCCTTCCTTGTCCCTTTTCCTTCTTTTTCTGGCCTGCATGCGTTGAGTGCCACGGTTCTTCGCCGCCCGTCGGTTGGGGAAGAGTGGTGGGTCACACCTTCGTCAGCAATCAGTGACTTTTCGCAGGCGAGGCGTGGCCGTGCAGTGGGCGGCCATTATCGGGTGGGGTGGGGGGGGTGGGGGTATTTAAAAAGGCGGGAGTGGAGGTGGGGGGGGGGGCTGGAGGAGACGGAAGGATGTGAATACAAAGCAAAGAGTCTGTTGCCTGCCTCTTCTTTCCCTGGAATCTTTCGAATTATTTTCTCCTTGTTTAGGTGTTGACACTGAAGATCGCGTTGCGAAGGGGGGAAAGGGGAAAGCATGTGCATTCTGTGTACGTGCGTGTGTATGAATGTGCGTGTGTTTGAGTATGTGTATTTGAGTGTGTGTGTGTGTGTGTGTGTGTGTGTGTGTGTGTGTGTGTGTGTGTGTGTGTGTGTGTTGTGTGTGTGTGTGTGTGTGTGTATGCGTCGTGTGTGTGCTTGCCTCAGCGTCTTCCTGTTTTCGGAGTCCCGCGGGCTGAGCGCAGCGTGTTGAGATAGGGAAGTATCTTAGGCAACAGCCGAAAGTGCTTGCAATCGGAAATCAGTTCCCTGCCAGAGGACGAACACCATAGAGAGAAGGAAAGGAGAGACAAAGAGGGGGAGAAGGGAGAGAGAGAGAAGGGAGGGAGAGAGAGAGAAGGGAGGGAGAGAGAGAGAAGGGAGGGAGAGAGAGAGAAGGAGGGAGAGAGAGAGAAGGAAGAGAGAGAGGAGGGAGAGAGAGAGAGAAGAGAGGGGAGAGAGAGGGAGAGAGAGAGAGAGAAGGAGGGGGAGAGGGAGAAGAGGGGAGAGAGAGAGAGAAGGAGAGAGAGAGAAGGGAGGGGGAGAGAGAGAGAAGGGAGGGGGAGAGAGAGAGAAGGGAGGGGGAGAGAGAGAGAAGGGAGGGGAGAGAGAGAGGGAGGGGGAAGAGAGAGAGAAGGGAGGGGGAGAGAGAGAGAGGGAGGGGGAGAGAGAGAGAGAGAGAGAAGAAGAAGGGGAGGGGGAGAGAGAGAGAAGGGAGGGGGAGAGAGAGAGAAGAGGGGGAGAGAGAGAGAAGGGAGGGGGAGAGAGAGAGAAGGGAGGGGGAGAAGAGAGAGAGGGAGGGGGAGAGAGAGAGAAGGGAGGGGGGAGAGAGAGAGAAGGGAAGGGGGAGAGAGAGAGAAGGGAGAGAGAGAGAAAGGGAGAGAGAGAGAGAAGGGAGGGAGAGAGAGAGAAGGGGGAGGGGGAGAGAGAGAGAAGGGAGGGGGAGAGAGAGAGAAGGGAGGGGGAGAGAGAGAGAAGGGAGGGGGAGAGAGAGAGAAGGGAGAGGGAGAGAGAGAGAAGAAGAGGGGGGAGAGAGAGAGAAGGGAGGGGGAGAGAGAGAGGAAAGGGAGGGGAGAGAGCGGGAGAGAGAGAAGAGAGGGAGAGGCGAGAGAGGAGAAGAGAGAGAGAGGGAGGGGGAGAGAGAGAGAGGGAGGGGGAGCAGAGAGAGAAGGGAGGGGAGAGAGAGAAAGGGAGGGGGAGAGAGAGAGAAGGGAGGGGGAGAGAGAGAGGGAGGGGGAGAGAGAGAGAAGGGAGGGGGAGAGAGAGAGAGAAGGGAGGGGAGAGAGAGAGAAGGAGAGGAGAGAGAGAGAAGGAGGGGGAGAAGAGAGAGAAAGGAGAGAGAGAGAGAGAAGGGAGGGGGAGAGAGAGAGAAGAGAGAGAGAGAGAGAGAGGGGGAGAGAGAGAGAGGGAGAGATGAGAGAGAGAGAGAGAGAGAGAGAGAGAGAGGAGAGAGAGAGAGAGGAGAGAGAGAGGAGAGAAGAGAGAGATAGGGAGAGGGAGAGAGAGAGAGGGGATAGACAAATTAGGAAGACCTTGGGTGCCGCCTTTATCATAATATCGCTGTGCCCTCAGCTGTGGCGGTGGGTCAAGCGAGCGCGATTTCCCCTGAATCCCCCTCCTCCCTTCAACCCTTTCATATCACCCACTGACAGACGACAGCCCAGGAGGAGAGCATGCCAGCGTTGCACTTCCTCGCTGCAGCTCCCTGTCTTACGGATGCCAATTGGACACCACCTGGTTGCACCGCCCGACCGCGCAGCTGGCTCGGAACAGGCGACGCAGCAGTACACCTCGCACTTTGATTCCTCTTTGGGGTGCTGTTTCATGTGCGATGTATTTTCTGTATGTGTATGTGTGCGAGTGCGTGCTTTTCTTTACCATCCATTATCTTTTGATCCTTCTTTCT